AAAGATTTTATTTATTTATTTGACAGAGCGAGGGAGAGAGCACAAGCAGGGGGAGGCGGAAAGGGAAAAGCAGACTCCCCACTGAGCAGGAAGCCCAATATGGCTGTATCCCAGAGTCCAGGGATCATGACCTGAGCTGAAGGCAGACACTTAATGGGCTGAGCCACCCAGTTGCCCCTCATCTATATTCTTCTAACTTCTGTCTAATGGAGATTCAGTGGGCTCTCTGGCCCACTGTGGAAGACCATTTTGCCTCCATTTACTCATTTATTTTAATATTCCTGATCAATAAATGTTCTTTTGTCATTTGAACTGGTTATAACATCTTACCAGTTCCTCATTAATAAGGGAAACAAAAACCATGTGTCCATAATTTTATATTTGTGTGACAGTCATGATTTTACTTCCACCCCCTTTTCTTGTGGAACTTTTTGCATGTGGAAAATTCTTTTAAACATAGGAATAGATTAATTTGCTTTAACCGATCACTTTAACCAGTATAATATCTAGAATTCCTCATGCAAGAAGAAGAAAAAAAAAATAGTCTTGCTCTTAATCGGGTAAGATGAAAACCAGTAACAAATAAAAAACCTTAAATGGTTTCATTTAGACCTGATTACTTTAGTTGTGTTCCTCCACCTTTGGGAAGATTTTACTATGATACAAATGAGATCCAGGTCTTCAAGTACCTTTAAGCTACACCTAGTGAAGTAGAATTTACAAAAACTAACACTTAATTTCTGAAGGGTCAATACTTCTAAGGCCTTCCTGTATAGAGGTTTGAATGAATTTAAGTATTTATTTATAATACTTATAAATTTACAAGTTGAATTTATAAGTATATAAATTTTATTTATATACTTATTTTCCATTTCAAATAGCAAAAATGCCTTTTGAGAGGTTGAATTTTACCTGAGATCTGTGTTCCTCATTCTTTAAGAGTTATGATTAAAGAAATTGTCCCATTCCTCTCTTTATGGCTTCTATAAGACTCTTGAGAATACCCCCTTGCCTACCTATGACTAAGAAAGACAAAGACCTTACAAGTTCCCATTCACTGCCTCATTTATAAATCTGTGAATTTTTTTTTTTTTAAGATTTATTTATTTGAAAGAGAGAGTGAGGGAGCGCAGGCAAGCTCACACACCAGCTAGCAGTAAGACTAGAGGAGGGGAAGAAGGGAAGCAGATTCCCTGCTGAGCAGGGAGCTCAGTGAGCCCAATGGGAACCAAAATCCTCCTTAGCTATATTTAAGTTTCTCTCCTTCCTATCAGAGCCCACAACAACTCCAGAGAATAGGCTGGCCTCAGAGTAAAACACCCTGCAATCTACAATCAAATCTAGTTCCATTCTAGCATCTTTTACTCCTCCCTTGAGAGGCTGATAGATCTTTTGGTCAAAGAATTCTCTCCATTACAACAGTTCTTTGTCCCTTATTGCCATAACTCTTTTTTTCATTTTTTTTTAAGATTTTATTTATTTATTCATAACCCTTTCAAATAAAGTCTCTCTTTACTAATTCTGGATTTTTTTTTTGTAATTTGAAAAATCCCTAAAACTTTTTGCATTTTGGGCTTTCTGTTGCTTTAGGGTTGTTAGTCAGTGCCTACATATGCTTTGTGATTCTAAAAGTAACATTTAGTCTTCCTACAGCACTACCAAATGAGTCAAAAGACAATGATCGTTAAGTGTAGAATAGATAAGACAAAATTAGTTGCTCCTTGTGATTTAAACACTGCAAGCTCAAGAAACAAGTTGTTTTCTTTAATTGACGGACATTATTATGTTTCAGAAGTACAAGATAATGATTCAATATTTGCATATGTTGTGAAAGATCACAAGAAGTCTAGTTAACATCCATCACCAGGGGGCTACAAATTGTTTTTCTTGTGATCAGAACTTTTAAGATTTACTTTCTTAGCAACTTTCAAATACCCAATACAGTGTTAGTAACTACTGTCACCCTGCTGTACATTACAACCCCATTACTTTATCTTATAACTGGAAGTTTCTATCTTTTGACCCCTTCACCCATTTTGTCCATCCCCTACCTCTGGCAACCACCAATCTGTTCTCTGTATCTATGAGTTCGCTGTTTTTTTAAAAAAATAATTTATTTAAAATGTATACATGTATATATTATTCCATAGGTTCTATGGAATAAGCTTTTAAGCATTACCACTTCCTACCCATTACCAAACTCTTAAGATAGGCAGATTAGATTGTGGTTGAGCAACCTCATACAAGGAAAGGACGCTAGCAAGCTTTCCTAGTAGCACAAGGTCTAGGACATTATCACAGGGCTCCTAAAGGAATTAAAGCAGGACACCACACCTACCATTGCCACTAACAAAACGAGTAGAAGATAGGGATTAATTAAGGGAGATAATTTTTTTCTTCCCAAAATTTAGAGGGGTGATATAATATTTTCCAGTATGTTGGTTTCCCTTAATACTACTTTTCCAGTCTCCTAATTAGTGAGAAAAAGTAGCATTAGGAGGAAATCTGGCCAAACAAGAAATTGACTGAATTTTTAGATCAACTTACATAGTATAAGTCTTTCCCTTTCTGAAAAATGCCTTTTTTACTCTTGTATGAGGGAGGTGCCTTAGAAATTAACAAGGCATTTTCCCAGATTATCTCTCATTTAATGAAAAAAGAAAATCTGCCCCTACTTTACGAGTCAGCAGTTTTAGTCCTAGGCATACACATAAAAGTCATGCCTCTTGCAACTGTTAACTTTTTGTGCCCATTATCTTCAAATACTAACCACTCACACTAGGAGTGAATAGACATTAAAAGAAGGGTTAAAGACCCAAATGAGATGGTTTTTAATCCTTCTTAAGAGGCCCAACAAGAAAGGTAAAGAGAACTTAAAACCAAAATATAGTCAATAGTGCCATTTAAGATATTTGGTTAAAGTGTTGTAGTTAGTTAAGTGCCAGGTAAAGCACTAAGCACAAACGTCAGCCCCTTAAATTTTGACAATAGTGACATAAGTACTATCATCCCCATTTACAGATGAAGAAACTGAAACTCGAAGCTCTAGTTATCACGCCTAGCACAGAGCCTGTTACAGCGTTCAAGTTCTTGCTTAATGGAAGAAAAAAAAAGAACAAAAAAAAAAACCTAATTTCACTATATATGAAGAATCCCTATTAATTAGGCCCTAATGATTTATCTAATGTACTCCCCTTAGATTTTGTGATGCTTCATGTAGCATACTTTCAGATCATTTTGGGAACAATTTAGCAAACCCTTCAGGCTTCCAAATTCGTAATGCGTCTCTAGGCCTCTAGTCCTTAAAGGTCAAGGAGAACCGAAGTGGGATTTCAACAACTGAGAGACCGTTTCCAGTCCAAGGAGACTTTGCCAAGCTCTCTTAATTCTACCTGATTTGGGATGTGGCCCAAATTATGAAACGATACTTAACACTACAGCTGTTGAATAAGTGACTGTGAAACTGAACTCTGAATCACTCTGTTGAAAATACCTCCATCTCTGCCTCTCTCTCTCTCTCTCTCATAAATAAATAAATAAATAAACAAATAAATAAATAAATCTTTTTTTTTTTTTAATAAGAGTCTGGACTCCCTACCAATGCCATTACTGGTTCAAACGCCACATACTCCAGGCCAAACTACAGCTACCTGCAAAGTATCCTTCAGGGCAGCACCAGTGTCTTCACGTATTTGGTGTGCCTCCCCCACCCCCCACCACAAATACTATTATTATGGGTCCTTTTGCCTCTGCGTCTGCAGAACAATTTCACAGTGCATTACAACTTTTGCTCTATTCTCAGCTGTTGGAAGGCAGGTTTTTATTTTCTGCATCCGGTGAGCAAAAGAGGAACTTCAGGGACTTCCCTTTTCATAGCACCGAGACACAGGTTTTGTTGTCGTCGTTAGTTTTGCAATGATACATTAAGCTCTGTGAGGACAAGGAACCATCTAGTTCCTGTTTTACAGCTGTCGCCTCTCTAGTTTAAAAAAAAAAAAAAAGTATTTGAATACAGGTTCAGAAAGTGCCACAATCTCACACCCCGGAGGATGAATCTCTCCAAGTCAGGGTGACCAGGTCCGCAGGACGCTGCACTCATTCCCCCTCCCTCCAGACAGCACGGTGGGCACGCGCATAACGCCCCCAGCTGACAGCCACATCACAATGTTTCAAGCTACCAGATACATCCAGGGATCATTTACTAGGTTCACGCCCTTGGGATGGGCGAATGGATACTGATCGGCCTCACCCAAGCATCTGGGGCTGGGAGGATGCCTGTTTGTATGTATGTATGTATGTATGTATGTATGTGTGTATGATGTATGTATGTATGTATGTATAAATAAATAATGTATAAATAAATATAAATATAAATATAAATAAAACGAAACAGGAGCCATGCAGGCTGTGCACCAGGTTCAAGGCCACAATCACCCTCTTGTAAATAGTACAAGCATCAGGCAGAGCTTTGCAGGGCTCCAGGTCTCGGGAGAAGAGGCGACAACCCGCGGAGGACACAGGTGCGACCCCGGCCGCGCTGACACGAGGGGCCCAACGAGGAACTGGGGCAGGCGGGGGGCTCCGCGGGGCGGCGAGCTGCAGGAGGCCCCAGCCAACAGCTGAAAGTCCCACTCACGTGTCTAGGCCTCTCGTCCCACCTCTTCTGGGAGACCGGCTGGAGCCGGCCCCGGGCTCCCGGGTTCACCCACGGCCCTGTCTCCACACCCGCGCCCTCCCCAGAACCCCCTCCCCGCCGGCCCCTCGCACCTTAGCTCGCACGGTCCTCTGCTGAGCTCCGGCTGCACCCGCTTTCGCCGAGAGCCCACTCGGCCGCCAGCTCTTCCCTCTCTTCCCCGCGCTACCACTGAGAGGACGGCGGGCGCGGGCTAGAGAGCCTCAGCCGTACCATAAAGAGACGCCCAGGAGCGGCCTAGAGCGACCCAAGCCTGGCCGGCCTCCCGGGCGGAAGGGGCGGGGCGGCGTTGATTGGCGGAAAACGCCCGGGGAAGCAATGGCTGCTTCCGACGCTGCCCCCGGCTTTGCCGTCTGTCCTCCGAGGTGAGGGCGTTGGGAGCTCCGTGAGGCCCTTTCTTCTTACGAGACTCAGGTTCCGCTGACTTAGATCGTGTTCGCAAATCTCTGCGCCTGGGCGTGAGGCCAGATTCCTGCGCCCCACTCCTCTGGTCCCCGGAGAAGTAACAAGAACGCCGAGGACAGACCCGATGTTTATTTGTAGTCTCACAATCGTAGGTGATTTCTCTTGTTCGAGCGAAGAATCTATTTCAGCGCGCGTCTCTTTTATCATAAAGTACAAAAATAGCTGTGCTTATTGCTTCGAGTAGGATGCAGGCTCCCGGAAGATGCTTGTAAATTTTGAGGGGAGAAACGGTGTTTCTTGCATTCCCTATTTTCTGCTACAGCTTAGGTGCTCTGTTGTTGTTGTTGTTTTAAGGATTTTATTCGTTTATTCATAGAGACCCAGAGAGAGAGAGAGAGAGGCAGAGACACAGAGGAAGAAGCAGGCTCCATGCTTGAGCCCGACGCGGGATTCGATTCCAGGACCCCGGGGTCACGCCCTGGGCTGAAGGCAGATGCTCAACCGCTGAGCCACCCGGGCTGCCCAAAGTGGATTTTATTCACCTAGAGGCTTTTGAGAGTTTGTGATCCCTTCGACCGAAGGGCCCCAGCCTTCAACGATTTTCAGGTGGCGGCGGGGCAACACCAAAAGTACTGTTTTTCTCACCTGCCAAGTGAAAAATGTGAGACAGCCCTTCATTGATTGAGGCCCTCACTGTTAATCACTGGCATTAGGGCAAGAGATGCCATCTGACCCTCCTGCCCAGGGCTGTCGGTCTTCCCTATTTTCCACTCTTCCTATAGTTCTACAGTTTTCCTCAGTATAAAACCTAGTATTTCTAATATGGCATAAAAAGGGTACTATTTGTCCTCTACTTATCTCTCCAGCTTTCCACGGCAAGAAGAGGAGGCACACCCACACCTCCGCTGGCGAGTGATTTCTCTGCAGTGAGCCTGTGTTCCTCTCTACCGCTTCCGTTCAGCAGGGTTTTGCTGCTCTGCTAAATCAAGTCACTCTTGGAACTAAGGAACGGGAGAAAGGCCAAACGCTAGGGATAGTCGACCGCAGCTCTGTCTGCAGGAGGCCACATTCAGTCATTCTCTTGTTACTTTGTGGTTGATACTTTGCTAAGAAATATCTACTTGGAGAGAACTCCCAGACAAGCCCGAGAACAGAGGAGTAAACAGTTGGTCACAGTGTGATGTGATGTGATAAATGCCTTTAATAGAAACCCCGAGGGCACGAACAGGACAAAATGAGAGCCACGAAGGCAGGGGCGTTCAGAGGGGGGAGATTGATGCTTGCCTTGAGCTGCGCTATGGAAAACTAACTTGGCTCACTGGCGGCCTCCAAGCGCACGACTAGCGAAGCTATCCTCCAGGTAATGAGACAGAAAGCTTCCAGACCAAATTAAGATGCTTGAATAACCTGGTTTATTGAATCAATTTAAATACCCAGTGAGAAGCAAGGGAAATAGTTGGAGTAAGTTGACACCCTTAGGATAGGGTGCAAGCAAAGGGAAGGGTAACGTCACCTGAGTTACGAGTTATGTAATATTCATGCAATATTGGCAATATTCAATATGCAATATTCATATGTTCTAACTGCCGCATCAGCCTCTTCCACTGATGAGATACTTATGAGGCCTAGAGTTGAGGTCATAGCAAGGAGGTCCACAGGTGGAAAGTACCTTGCACTGGTGGCACACACCTGCTCTGTTGGAGATTCAGGGAAAAGTGCTTGGCCACAACCAGAGCCTACGAGTTAGCTTGGTGGACAGATACTGATTTTATTTGCATTTCTGGGATAGAACACATACCTATGAGACTATATGAAGTGTTATGGGTAGCTAATTTAGGGCTGACAAAGTTTTCAGCCCAGAGATGGCACAGTTATTCATACCTTCGTTTTTCTGTCCCTTTTTAAACATAAATGACTCTATTCCATCAAATTTTTAAATTTAACTTTGGCATGCCTTATAGTTTACTAACTTACTATGTATATTTAACACAATTCTGCCTATGTTTCACAAAGCACATAGTTAACATTGTTTTATATTCTCTAAAACATCCCAGGAGTTTTGCATTTATGTCATAAGCTACTAGTGTATTTGACATTTATTCTAACACTTCTTACGACTTTCTTCCATCCTTAAGGAAAACTGCAAGGAATTCAGTATCTTGCCGTGGAAAGCTGGAGAGATAAGTAGAGGACAAATAGTACCCTTTTTATGCCATATTAGAAATACTAGGTTTTATACTGAGGAAAACTGTAGAACTATAGGAAGAGTGGAAAATAGGGAAGACCTACAGTCCTGGGCAGGAGGGTCAGATGGCATCTCTTGCCCTAATGCCAGTGATTAACAGTGAGGGCCTCAATCAATGAAGGCAGTGGCTCTATGGGGTTAGAGGTGATTCCCTGCCCCGCCCCGCCCCCAGACATTTGGTAATATTTGGAGACATTTTTGATTGTTCAAACTAAGGGGTGCTACTGATAAATACTGGGGTGGAGACAGGGAAACTTCTAAACATCCTGCAATGCACAAAATAATCCCTCATGACAAAGAACTCTTGTAATATCAGGAGGGCCAAGATTGAGAAACCTGAAGTAAAGGATTTAAGGAAGCATAGAGAGGATAGAGGTTAAGCAATTAGATTTAGTTGGATTTTATAACTGATTAGAGGTAGATGTGAGGAAGAAGGAAAGAATGATTTTAGGGTTCTAGCTCAGGTAACTAGGAGGACAAAGGGTTAGGGAAAATAGAAACAAAGATAAGTTTGAGACATCTCTAAGACATGTAGTAACCAGTTGGAAAATAGAGATGAGAACAAAATGAGAATCTTCTTAATAAAAAATGTACAGATTAGATTAGAATCTGTGCAGATAAACTCTGAGAATCTGCATTTTTGGCAAGCAATTAGGTGATCTTGCAGTATGCCAAAATTTGACAACAATAGTTTTAGGTCTCAGAAGAGCGTTCTGAGGAGCAGTGAGGTAGCAGGAAAACTAGGGAAGAGCAGAATCCCAAAAGCCATGGAAGAAGAGAGTTGACCACAGGGATTTTATTAGTACAAGAGGCTGCTGTAAAGGAGTACTGGTCATTAGAAGTATAATGCGAGTCAGTGTAGGTAATCATAAATTTTCCAGTTGCAATATTACAAAAGTAAAAAGAAACCAGTGAAATTAATCTTAGAACTATATTTTGTTTATTATATCTAAAACATTTGAACATGTAATTAATATAAAATTAATAAGGTATGTTATATCCTTTTCTCTTACAAAGTCCTAGAAATCTGGTGTGCATAATTCAGTTTTTTATGTTTTAATAGATATATCTGAACTTCTGCTTATGCAGAATTGCCCGCCCCCTGGATCCAACTAGAAAACTGGGCATGACATTTGAAGTGACTGTTTTCAGACGTGGGACAACATGCAATAGAGAATTGTGATTCCTGAGAGGAGAGAACAAGTAAGGGAAGTCCTACAATGGCTCCAGCCTACTGCCTGGAGGGCAGAACAGGAAGGGAATTTAAAGAAAGACCAACAGTTTCACTGGAGACAGAGAAGGAACTGAGGGAAGCCAATGAGAAGACATCGGAGAGGGGGAAGTGGCACAGAGAAAGATCTGTCTACCCAGGTGTATCTTTCCCCTTGTCCTTTGGCTGAGTATTGATCTGTGCAATGGAAGACTGAAACTCCATGAGAGCTGGCACCAAAAAGCAGTAGGCCAAACAGTTTCTTTTCTTTTTTTTTTTTTTTAAGATTTTAAAAATTTATTCATGAAAGACACAGAGAGAGGTAGAGACAGGAGAAGCGGGCTCCATGCAAGGAGCCCAATAAGGGATTGGATCCCTGGACTCCGGGATCACGCCCTGAGCCCAAGGCAGATGCTCAACTGCTGGGCCACCCACTCTTCCCAAGCCAAGCAATTTCTGATGCTTACACAGGACTAGGAATAGTTTGTGTTCCCATCAGCCAGAGTACAGAGACTTTGTAATACACATATTGTTTCTACCAATCAAAATAAAAGCTGTTGGAGGCTGGCCAGCTTGCTCGCTCTCTTTCTGTCTTACAGGTCTCTCTGTTTAGGCTAGTTTGGTCTTCCTCACAGCATAGTAACCATAGGGTACCTGGGTTTATTACATGGTGGCTCGGAGCTCCCAGTGCTTGTGTTTCATCAAGGTGAAAACTGCTTTGCCTTTTATGATTTATACCCTAGAATCATGTATTGTCACTTCTACCTCATTCTGTTGTTTATATGCAACTCACTGAGCTTGGTCCAGATTCAAGAGGTGGGAACATAGCTCCTACCTCTCAATGGGAAGAATATAAAAAAAATTTGCAGATATATTTTAAAACTGCATAAAATGGCATAGTCTAGTACCAAATCTAATAACTACCATAATTTCAAAGTAGTAATGACTAAATGTTATATTGAGATATCTGTAACAACTTTGATACAAAAAAAAAATCTGTGTTTTTTTTTTTAAGACTTTTTATTTATTCATGAAAGACACAGAGAGGCAGAGACATAGGGCAGGGAGAGAAGCAGGCTTCTTTAGGGGAGCCCAATGTGGGACTCGATCCTGGGACTCTGGGACCATTCCCTGAGCCGAAGGCAGACACTCACTCAAGCACTGAGCTCCCCAGTCATCCCAAAATCTGTGATTTCTGTTGGTGACTAAATTTCAGGTACTGTGGACACAATACTGCAGCAGTACTAATAGATACAGCAATTCTGTGACACCAGCTGGGAGATAGTGTCAGGCCCCATAGGTTAAGAGTTCAGTTGTACAAGACTGCCCCTTCCCCACTTCAGATGCTAATCGTAAGTGCATCTGATCCACTGGCTATACATCAGAGGTTCCCATCATTCCCTTCTTAGGTGCTATTGATTTGCTAGAATAGCTCACAAAACTCAGGAAAACATTTTACTTAATAGATTACCAGTTTATTAGAAAACAGTGTAACAGGAATCACCAGGTAAGAGATGCATGGGACAAAATATGTAGGAAAAGGCACAGAGAACTTCCATGCCCTTTCTGGGGCACACCACTTTCCTAGATCCTTGCATGTGTTCCCCAACCTGGGAGATTTTCTGAACCTTGTGCTTTTGGGTTTTTATAGAGGCTTCATTAAGTAGGTAAGATTGATTAAATCATTGGCCACTGTGATTAAGGTAATCTCCAGCCCCATTTCCCTCCCAACCTTTGTGGCTTCTCAATAGTTCTTCATTAACATAAACTATGGTGCGGTTGTAAGGGGCTTGTTATGAACCACAAAAGACACTTTTATCACACTGACCACTTAGGAAATTCCAAGGGTTTTACATTCCTGCAAGGGAAGAAGACCAAGACCAAATATAAATTTCTTGTTATAGATTACAATATCACAATACCCTTCATATATATATATATGTGTGTGTGTGTGTGTGTGTGTGAGTATACCTCATATATGTATATATCATATACACATACACACATGCATATACAAAGTGCCTAGCACACTGTAAGCTCAATAACTGGTAACTATAATTACTCTTACTACTATTTATGAACTTCCAATTATATCTGGAAACACTGGAGTATCAGCTCACATATGTTCTGCCATTCATGACATACTATGTTCTAATCCTGAAAGATGGATATTAACCTGAGTTATTATTCATTGTTATTTGAACCTGTATCTCCCGACTTCCCTCTCACCACTTTGTACCCTCCTTCCTTGCAACAATATTTAAAAGTCAATTGATTTAAAGAAATGCAAAATAGGGAGTTTAACAACTGGACAGAGGTACAGATTGAAGCTGCATTTTTAGCTTCTGATTTTTCTCATTTGAAGCAAAAATTTCAGACTGTTGTGGGGGAGGCATGGGGAAGGAAATGCAGATCTGTTCACAGCTGCTACTCAAAATACTAGCCATATAACCAGGAGAGAATTTGGCTCAAATTAAAATCCCTGGGCTCTTCATTGCCCTCATAACCATTATTGTATCAATTAAAATTCATTTGCATGTCCACAGTGCGTTTGGCACTACATCAAGGAAGGAAGCTGATGATCACAGAGATGGTTTCAACCATTTTGCTTATGTCTGAGAATGACCCAAATGGTATAAAGAAGCAGCAGAAATAAATCATTAAAATTTTGTAATTTAACAGCACTTGGAATCATAAAATATTAGAACTGGAAAAGGATCCAACAGTTCTGTTGTACAGCTTCTTTACTTAGAGGTTGATAAAACTCAGCTCCAGAAATAGTAATACTATACAACCAATATATGTGACAATAAAGATTACACAACCAGTAAGTAATAGGGAAAGCCAAGATTCATACCCATGTCATCTACTCAAAATGCAGTGTTTCCTCTGCTTTATCAGCCCACACCACAATCTATGAGTAAGAATCACATTCTTAGAAAACTAGAAAATAATTACTTTCTTTTGAATTACTCTCTTGGAAAATTAGGAGTCAAGCCATTAGAGTCTACATGTTTTAGCTTTTTCTATATTAGCCATTATTAATGAGATGGGTAGGTTACAGATGGGTTTGGTGGGGATATTTTGGCCTGAGAAAGGGCTTATTTAGATGAGCAATATGAACAGTTTTAAATATTTTTAGGGATTTCATGAGAACCCTTATTAGGCCTTTGGGCAGATCTTTGAAGAGCAGTACTGCCTAGGAGCCAGCAGAGGGAGAGCAGAACATTGTTTTGCCAATGTTTACCAAGTTCCTGGCAGTTTTACCTTTAGCTCATTCTTTTTTTTTTTTTTTTTTTTTTTGCTCATTCTTTTTTGCACATATTTGATATATTCCTTGGTGGTGATAAGAAAAATACCACCTTTTCCTACTCTTGGGAGAGGGTATAGAATGCCTCAATCAATGAATTAGGGTTTTATTTAACTTACTGTTCAATAGGCTATCAAATGAGCTGGGTTTAGAAAGTCCTTAAGCATATTAGGAATTTTTTTGTGTGGATTTCACATACTTTTCTCCATAATATTGGGTAACTTAAATGATTTTATTTATTTTAAAGATTTTATTTATTTATTTATTTATTTATTTATTCTTTAAGATTTTATTTATTAGAGAAAGAGCATGAGGCAGGGAGAGGGAGAAGCAGCCTCCCTGCTGAGCAGGGAGCTGATGCAGTGCTCAGTCCCAGGACCCTGAAATCATGACCTGAGCTGAAGACAGCCTATTAACTGACTGAGCCATCCAGGCGCCCTTAAGTGATTTTAAATGTATGTAATCAAATATATAGGTTGTATTTTAATAATTACTTTTAAGAGAAACTAACAATAACAAGATTTGGAATTCTCTCATTAGTCACTTCATTTTGCTCTGGAAGAGGATGAATGTAAACTGAATCCAGAGAAAATTCGAAATGATGACTTTTTATATCTAGAGTTTCTTTTATTTATTTATTTATTTAAATATTTATTTATGAAAGACACAGAGAGAGAAGCAAGCTCCCTGTGGGATGCCTGATGTGGGATTTGCTCCCAGGACCCTGGGATCATGACCTGAGCCAAAGGCAGATGCTCAACCACTGAGCCACCCAGGCGGCCCTATATCTAGAGTTTTAGAAATAAAGTCCACATATCAGTAGAAGTAATCATCCACTCATTTTTCTGGAAATCTATGGTCAATTTACACTTTCATTATTGTTTTGTTTTTGTATCTTCAGAGTTTGGTATAAAACTGAATGTGATAATACTCATTCTTACAGAGTTCATGAGAGATTGACACAAACATATCATTGAAAAATTTAATAGTATTAGACTGTACTAAGTGCATGGAACGTAAGCTAAGGGGATGTGGAGTGATTCCTGGAGGAGGGCCACCTGAGCTAAGTCATAAAGGATCAGTAGGACTGTATTCTATTCAATGTATTTTTAAATCTTCCCTCCCATATCTGCATGGTTATGTTGAAAGCAGCCATTCATTGAACTATTACACTGTATTCCTAGGCTAAAAAATTTTGGTTCACAAGTGGACACTGGAAACATGCTGGGCCAGTTGGTGTCTCTGCCATAGGATTTTTCAACAGAAGACCCAGTGAAATTGGAAAATCATCAACTGTTTTGTTTTCTGCCTTTTAGACGAAAACAACCATAATAACCTTGACATTACATTGACACACAGAGGTTGAGGCATAGACAGCTCTGGAGAGAATGCATCCTCCCAGCATTCAAGCCTCTGGCTCTCTTGTTGCCCACAGTATATGTGCAGCTACTTCCCAGTTCTGTTTCATGAGACACTCCAGTATCCATAGAAGTTTCTCTTTTTTCTTATTCTAGTGTGAGTTGACTTTCTTTCCTTTGCAGCCACAAGAATTCTAGCTAGTATAAAGAATTAACCAAGGCAAAGAGGGAGAGTGAAGGACATTTTGGGGGCTGCAGGAGCAAAGACATAGAAACATTAAAAAGCATATGACCTGTATAAAGAAATATAAATAGTTCAGTATTGTTAAAACATATAATGAAAGAGAGAGTGCTAGCAGAAGTAGTGGGTAATCTGCCATTTTAAGGAATTTAACTTTACCCTAAAGGCAATGAAGAGCCATAGAGTAGTTTGCACAATGACATAGTCAGCTCTGTGGTTTAGATGGCTTACTCTGCCAGGAGTTTCTTCAACATTTCTCTTCTCTCTGGGCGTATCAGGTGCTGTTCCCTCACGTAGGACCCTGCAGGAAGGGGATGGGACATGGAAAAATGTATTATGTCTGTAGGCAGAGCAAATCCTAGGGTTATGACTTTTTATTTAATTACTTTGTAACAGTCTGTCTTCCTCTCCATTCTGAAAGTACCACTAGAGTAGGGGCTATGTCTACTTTGTTCATCATGAATTCCCAAATTAATTAAATGAGGTAATTTCCATCTTAGTACCTGGAACACATGATTATACAATAAAATTTGCTAAGCCAATAAATGAGTGAGTTAAATAAATAGTGATGAGATAGAGAAAATAAGTTCATGATATATTTTGGAAATAGGGCTTGGTAAGTTTGGTAAAACTAGCTATATGT